TTAGGTATCGAGACTAATGATCAAACGTGTTTGAAACGTTTTTTTTTTATTGTTGTTAATCTGTTGTATTACATTGTATGCTATTTATTTATATTATAATGCATATTACTTTTTGTTTAATGCTTTTACACCGTGTAAAGTTTCTCAACTCAATCCAATTCAGAGATAACGATGCGTTATATAATTTCTTATTTATAGGTAGTAGTTCTCTTCTACTGCATTTCTAGAAACTTTCAACTCATCTCCTCTTTTCTATAAGACGTTCACGGTGTTATTTGTGGAACTGTAGATATTTCTCGTCCTTTTAATTCGATTTCTTTACCTTCGTATTATAACCATTTCAACAAGGAACCGTGCTGATGAAGGGCGACATGGAAAACCGGTCGGATACAAAAATCCTATTAAATTCCGACTTTGAAACGATGTCGTTTTAGTTATACTTCATCGGAACTTATGAAAATATTAAAAATTGATATTTTTAATAATAATAAATTAATAAGAGATGACACATCATTAATTATGACGTATATGTCAGATTAATATGAATATAAAAACAAAAAAGAAGAAGAAAAAAACAAATTATAATATGTTTTAACTATGAAAAATTAATAAATTATTGGCTCGAGTAAAATGTTTCTAATAAGATTGATCATAATTCTACGATCACGCACAGATTAGAAGATAAGAAATCAAATCTTAAATTATCGGAAATGAAAAGCCCTTGTAATGTATTTCCGGTGGTTTAAATAAAATCGATGTTTGTAAAATAAAAAGTAACCCGTTCGATCTGTGGCTTCTAACCGGAAGTTAGAATGGCATAAACACGGCTTCGCTTCGGTTACGTTCGTTCTGCGCAATGCAATGAAATACATTAGAGTAGTAGTAGGAGTAGTAGTAGTATAGGCAGAAGAAGAAGAAGAAGAAGAAGAAAAAGAAAAAGAAAAAGAGGAAGAAAAAGAAAAAGAAAAAGGAAAGAGAGAAAAGGGCTCGTCATCGTGTCCTAGCTCTTCTTCGAGTTCCCCGACATTGTGCAGCTAACCGTTTCGCAACAGATTACATGCATCTTTCTCTAACGGCACGTACGCGGTTACACATCGTGTACACGCATACCTATCTACATGTGTATACAGGGTGGTCCGAATAAATCCTTACAAGCTGTTATCTTCAAAACTTCTTGACCAATTAAACCTTTCCTTTAAATTAAATTAAACGAAGAAATGCCTAAAAATCAAAGAGGAAAAAAAAGAACAATCATTCTACATTCTTCTGATATACCTATCATATATATATATATTTGTATTTGATTTGTAATATTATTTAATTATCAATGAATTTACACGTTAATCATAACCATCGATTATTCGATCATCGTATTAAATTATATTTAACGTAACCAATATTTTATCCTCCTATTTAGTTATAATAATATTAACTTGAAAACGCATTTTTTGATTCACCAAGTATATTCGTATTATACACATGTGGTGCGTATGTATGTATATAATAATCATCAATATATCGTAAAAGAGGCTCGTCCCCACGTGGAACCGTTCGCCAACTAGAATGACTACAACAGCTCTCGCTTTAATACCACCTTTCTTCTTCTCTCCTTCACCTTTTCTCTCCCTCTCTCTCTCCCTCTCTCTCTCTCCCTCTCTCTCTCCCTCTCTCTCTCACTCCTTCTTTTCTTTCCCCTCGTGTATTTTTTTTTCTTTCCTTGTTGTAGTTAGGAACACTCACTCTCGCGGCAATGAAACCGGCCGCTCGAGCTTAGCGCGTTTTTCCGCATTGCCATTAGAATCGTCGGTCGGTCGTCGACACCGAATAAGAAGACTGGAAGAGATTCTAAATACGGCCACCAACTAAAACTTTTGATCACCCTTTTCTCTTTTATTGTGTAATGATGCGCACCCCGAAACGGGTCTAAATATATTACATACATATATCTATTTTCTATGTAAAACGTGTTGAGTGTCTTCACGAGATACACCGAATATTTTGGTCCACCTTCGGGGAGACAGACATCACGGAGACGAGGTCAATGTCCCTTTACAAATGAGCACGACAGTAGTCTCTCTTCTTCTTCTTTTTTTTTTTTGCTTTTTTATTCTTAACCCCCCCCCCCTCTACAACGTCGTGTAATTTTAAAGTGACGTGTAACTTGTCGCGAGAGTTTTTCTACCAACCCCCACCAATCTCTCCATTGTTATTTTTAAATAATTCGTATTTAAATATCATATAATCGTAAATTATACTTGTGACTTTGTTTTTATTCTGATTGGGAGTTAGTTATAAAGGGTTTAATATACTCTCTTATTTATTTTCTTCTTTCCGTTCTTATGTTACAATTGCGCGCGGCATCGGTATTTTGTGTTTTTGATTTCATTATTAATAACGACTTTTTTTTAATTATCCATATTTTTCTTCCTTTTTGTTCTTTTTTTTTTTTGGATAGAACCAACGAATAAATATAATCTATTTAAAAAATGAATCTATTTGCATGCGTAATAATCATCTTGCTAAAAGAAAACACACAATCCTTTCGGATTCTTCAAGGTTGATATCTCTTCGACGTAAAATAACACTTTGCATACTCGCGAACTCGTGATACGTCATTGCCACTGATACCTTCAAGGACACGTCACGTCCTGCCCGTCGAAACGTGACTTTCCTCTTGATGAGAAACCCGCACTTTTACTCAAACAGTCTCTCTCTCTCTTTTTCTTACCTTTTCCTTACCTTTTGTCACCGTTATATATGGGTCGAACTATAGTAGAGAAGTCAAATGCAACGGCATGCATATTCCTTTGACTATACATCGAGAGAATAATCCTTTCCATCACGTTCTCCATCTAACAATAATTACGAACGTGTAACATATGCACGCATGCATACTAGATCGTATAAAGGTATGGAATCCCTTTACAAGTTTCGCCCTCTAATCATACATTTGTTAGAGATTGTCTCCTTTTTTTTTTTCTTTTTTTTTATTTCTTTTTATAAAAGCCAATCCTATCCTCTAATCGTTCACCGGAAGGGATCTTGAAAGGGAAGCTTGAAGATCTTATGTGTGGAATGGAAATTTTATTCAAAGTTAAACGTTATATCATACACGCGTAACTTTGGACACGATGCTGTCATTAAAATCAATAAATCGTAGAAAAGGAGGACATATAGTCTATCCGGTTAAATCATTATAGCGTGACACGTGTAATAAGAGAGTACCTCGATCAACTTTAACGGACCTTCCTTACCCTTACCCTTACCTCCCCTCCTCTCACTCTTTCTTCCACCATCCTTCTATCCGGCTTCGTCGCGAGTTCTCTCACGCGTACGAGAGAATAACTCTCATCCGTCGGGCGCGTTCCACCTTTCTGGTGCAAAAAACTCACGCATCTTTACCGTACATACATAGGTGTACATACTTACATACGTGGTGCGGTGCGTGCTTAAAAGAGGTTCATCGAACAAGAGCGCCTTCTCACGATGCCATTGCTACTACCCTTCTCGAGGTCAATGAACTTTTCGTTGGACAACATTTTCGAAAAAAAACATTCGTAGGATCATATTTTCAAAACAAACTTCTTCAATTTAACTCAGATTTATCGTTGATATCAAATTGTCCTGATTCCGGTACGGTGTTATACGATTACTATCAGAATATAGCGCGTGTGTGTTGCAAAATGAATTTAAAAATTAGTATTTTTTTTTTTTTTTTTTTAATGAAACCAATTAACACTAACGAGAAACTTATTCTTCTATACCTTGTAAAAAGAATTCTTGTTAAATGATATACGATAGGAAAATATGTAATTACAGTCGAACTTGTATACGCCGCGTACATTCGAATTATAGGTTCTGTTTTCGTTCGCCAAACGTTTCGGCAAAAATCGTGAGAAAGGTTTCAATGTCACGATTGTATGTAGTACTCGATAGCCCCTTTCGAATTAGAGTCGGCAAGATAGTCATTATCAGCAACCGATGCTTAAAATCATGCCACGGTTCTCGTAATTTATGGAGAACGTAAGATGATTATGTTTGGTAAGATAGTACCTTCTTATACTTGCTTGCAGTCTATCCTAACGTAGTATAGAAGATATTAGTTTGGATCGTATAAACACCTATCCCAGCCCAGGGTCTTGTTCTCCACCCTGATCATAAATTTGTTTGACGCGTCTAACTGTCGACAAGGGCCTTTACGACACACGAAACGCGTTTAGAAACTAAAACACGTTCAAATAGGAACAAATATTTTTCAAGATTTTCAATTCGATAGAAAATATACCTCTTATTGCCGTTAGATATATATTTAGAATATACTTTAAATAAAGAAGAATGATTTTTAAATTCTAATTTAAATGAAGATAAAATATTGTAGATAGTCATATGTGGTACAACCACAAAAGATGTAATCCGTTACGCGATGGTTACACGATACTTACAAGATACGACGAGAAAGTTCCAAGGAAAAGTATTCCATCGATACTAACATAAGCCACTTTCAAGATTTAGTTTCATACACCCTAGAGAAGAAGAGATATATGTGCCTAATCATATTACATCTACGAACACACTCATAGATATTCGAAAGGAATACCCTGTGTCGTGTTGAAAAAAAAAAAGCCACGTATTCTCGATTAAAAATGTATAAATCAAATTTTGTATTCTCTTCGAGTCGTTTAAACTAAACAAAAATCTTATCGAATGTAAAATAGAATATCTTTACATTTCAGAATTTGAAAAAGAACGTGCTTAATGAAAACGAATTTTACAGAATCGAAATAACTAACTATAAATGTATATTGAGTTGACCAATAAGTAATATAGAAATTTTATACAAATATTACTGTTGTTTATTTAGATATTAACTATCAAAAGTTCTCAATAATATTTAAAATGTTACTTATTGTGTGTGTGTGGTCAATCAAACATGAATATATCGATTTAATTGAGTCCTTATTTTGTTTTTCCTTTATCTTTTGTATTTTTTCTTCTTACAGGAGCAACAAGTACCTGCAAAAGTCGTCTATCAGCCGTGTCTGCGCGGTCGGAGGCTTTTTCATTAGCATTCCAGTCTTCTTAACCGGTGAGAACGTCTTTTCTTTCTTTTCTCTCGTGAATATCTTCTATCGTTATCGCTAATACGAGCATTCCAGCGTGCATTATTATATCACACATTAATTGCCACGCTGACGTAGCAATGAAACAAAATAAGGGAGAAAAGGTAGAGGAGGAGGGGGAAGGGGTGGAGGACACACAGGCAGAGGCAGGATTTTAATATTTTACATTCGTCCTTTATTTCCTTTCAGGCATGATCCTATACACATTTATACAGTTTCATTCGACGCCAGCTATAGTGACGTCTGTCTTTATCGGTCTCGGCATTGTATTCTGTGGATGCGCCATGGTCCATAACGTCTTCGTGTGGCAGAGGGTAAGCAGCATTTCATCTTTTACCTTTTTCTTTATTACTTTTTTGTATGCAACCTTTTAAAAATTAAGAAGAAAAAAAAAAAACAAAAGAAAAATGTTTGTCAATTGAATTTGGTTATTACTTTTTTGAAATATCGTTAACATTTGTAAACGTTCCGAATACATTTCTTTTTTCTTATATACACCCTGTATATTCGCACTTGCACGCGTTATATATACCAATTCCCAATCCCAATTTCTATCCTACGCAACTGATTAGCATAACCAGCATCGACTTGATATTATTGTAAAATGCTTCGCGAATTGTCCCTTTACCGTTGACACGGATATAACACAGGCATCATCGAATCAAGTATTATACTACTATCCTATTTGACTTTACGTAATATGCCGAACGTTGAACTTGAATTTTAAGAGAAAAGAGAAAGACAACAATTTTACGAATGCGTCACTTGTAACTTTGTTTTTATTTCCCTTTTTTTTTCTTGCTGTCGAAGATTTCTGTAACAATATCTCGTAAACTAAATCCGATCGTATAACAACAGCTTGTTACACGTACAAATATGTAACAACATATATATAAATACATGTGTAAAGTAAGGCAGCGAAAAAATAGCTAGAAATTTATGTTGATAATTTAACTTTTCAATACATTCCCGGTTATAGTCCATTATGGCGATTAATTCGCTCGTAAACTCGTATCACTTAATGCCGTACCATTAAAACAGCCGGGAGGTTTCTTTCATAATCGTTTTCTTCTTTTATAATCTACGTCTATAGCTTTCGGTACATACGTATAAGGGGGTGTGGGTTGGTCCGAGTGTGGGGAGTACCAACGTATCTTATAATTAAATTTAATATCATCTTTGACGTCGCCTTAAACGTTCCCATCGGATTCTCTTTTCATCTTTCTTTGTCCCTCTTATGTATCCTATATACATATTACCTTATACAACTTATTAAAGATGATATTCTATTCAATTGATTAACATTTTTCAATCTTTTTTTTCTCGATATTTTGTCAAATAAATGATCTGATGTTTGATTATAAATATTGATAAAAAAGAAAAAATATATTGAAAATGATCGATTCCATAAAGAAGAGTCTTAGAAGATATTTTGATAATTTTCAGGAGAAGACGAATGCGGTTAAGGCGCTTGCTCGCGAACAGTGCGAAGCGGCCGCTCAACTGCAGCGTCAGCAACAGCAATCACAGCAAAATCATCATCATCATCATCATCAATCGCATCTCCTCCAGCAACAGCAACACCAACAGCATCAGCAGCATCAACATCAGCTACGGCCGAGTCTTTATCACAGTGGATGCGCACCAAAAATCGGTTCTTTGACGGCAACCCACTCAAATACCACTTTGCCTCATCACGGTGGCAACCGTAGTTCTCAGTATCATCAGCCACATCAGCATCATCATCATCATCATCATCATCGACATTTGTCGTCACCGATGTCGCCCCCCTTGTTATTATCTTCGACAAGTGCACCACTCGCTTCGACGCACAGTCTTTTAAACGTTGCTACGAATCGTAGTAACGTGGTAACACCACCTGCTACGCCAGGTGACAGGTCACCACCAAGTCCAACCAATAAGTTCAATAGGTCTCATATAACGAGGGAAGCCAGTGGTAGCGTCAGTCCTGGCCTACCAGCAGCGACCTTGGATCTTAGCAGTGCAGCTACAACCAACAGCCCTCATGAACTATCTACTCTCGTGTAAATAATCGAGATAGAGGAGTAATTTATCTATTCGAAAGACTTATTGAACTTTTATAGAACGTTCGTTAGATATCGGTGGACACTTTCTCTCTCCCTCTCTCTCTCTCTTTTTTTCTCTACGATTTGAGACCACCTAAGAATTATCTGACGATATCATATATTGTCTTTTTCTTATTAAACTTCAAAGAGTCGCGGCACCTTCGTGAATTTATTTTTCCTTTTTAAAAAGACAATGTGTATGTACTTAAATAATTGTGTATTTACGTTATTTGTGTCTTGATTCCATTCGACGAGACTCTTATTATGTGTTTTCGATTAATTTTCACTTTGTGGACAAACAATAAGAAAAGGTGTGTGTGAAAAACACTAACATATTTTAAGTTTCGAGATTCAGCTGGTACCTGATTTATGTACGTACGACGTCTCATTGAAATTGGAATCTGTTAAATGCGACTAAAATCCATCGTTGTTGGTTTAATTTCTTTTTTTTTTTTTTTTCCCCGACCCCTATGGAAAAGGGAGTTTTCACCTTGTATACTTTATCGAACAAAATTTGAACGTCTTTAATTTTTCCGAATTTATATTCTATTTTTTAAAAGTATTCTAATAAGATAACTCTGCGTAAATAAAAATCATTCGGTTAGTTTATCGTTGATTAAGAAATTGTTTGAACAATTACGAATAACATAATGTTATTTCGTAATAGAAATTTTACGAATAGAACTTGCATTATTGTCGCATTTCATTTACATAAATAGCAATACTTTGTTTTTCATAATATTATTCTAATTGATACATTTGAGAGCATAACACAGGTAATACCTGTTGCATAGCATAACTTATCAGTTATGCAATCCAATCAGTAACTAACGAAACGTATGTGTAAAATAAGAAAAGTTATCTATGTAAAAGAAAAAACAACGACGACAAGAAAGAATGGAAAGAAAGTTATTACGATCGAACCGTCAACAATTGGGTAAAAAGCCGTAAAAAGAAAAAGTTAAAGTAATATTATCCCTTTCGTTACAGCATATTTTGGCTCGAATACGACCCTTATACGGGTCGCTAGTAACAAAAGGGTTCGTGCTCGATGAGATAAAAATATAAGCATTAAAAATAAAATGTGTGTGCGTGTGTCTGTGTGTGTGTGTGTGTGTGTGTGTGCGCGCGTATATTAAGAATACGAGAGAATCAAAGCATTACTCGTAGAAAAGAAAAATCTCGTGCAGTTTGGAAAGGTGACACATATGTAGCTATGTACATCTTGCCATGTTCTTTATTTCTTTACTTGTTTAGTAAAACCTCTAGTCCTAGGTCACTTTCGTTAATGAGAAAGCCTTAGACCTTAGAATTCTGACTATCGCTTGACTGCGCGATTAAGTATTTTTTTATATTCATTACAGAGAATAGCTGATATATGAAATCTGATATATATAAATAATAATAATAATTATTATTATTATTATTATCATTATAACAAGAGTTTTTGATATGTAAATTAATAAATTAATATCATTTCCACTATTTTTCAAACTTAACTGAGAATCGATTGAATATAAATCGAAATCTAACTAGGAAAACGCGTAATGAAATGAAATCATATAATTATGACTGACTTCGTACTGAAAGTTGCATTTAATAATGTGTATAAATATAATGTTTTAAGTATGAGATACGTTAAAGAAATATTAAACTGGAAAAATATAGAATTGTATTAACTGTTGATGAAATGATAAAGTTACAAATTTGAAAGTTAAACAGACATATCTCGACTTATCGGTAACGTGTAAATATATACATTTAAAAAATCTATAATATCTCACATTCTCTAGAGGTAGAAAGTTTGAAATGGGCAGGGTAAGAAAATGAAAATATGTAAATTACACATTAATATAATGCATAATTTTTACCAAGTTTGTAAGTAGTGTAGTAATAATTCGTTTTACTTATAGCGTGCGATAATGCATGAGTAAATTATTAGTTGGGTCCACACGTAATACGCATAGTACAAAAGTGTTTTAGCTTTATGTACTACTACAAATGTAAAATCGATATCGTGGATAGATTTGGTAATGTACCTTCTTAATAGAAATAAATTATTCAGAGCATGTCGAGTTAAATGATTGGTCAAATATTTTGACTACGATATTCGTTAAAAATACGTACGATTTTCTTTTTTTGCGCTTTGCGCGGCCCTTGCACGGCCCTTGCACGGCTCGCCTCGCCCATGATTACGGCTTTGACAACATAATAAAATAATCCTGATTTTCTAACTTATTTTAATAATATTATTCATTTATTTTATTTCAAAGTTATATAAAAATATTATTTAACAAGATTATTTTTCTATAACTTATTTAGTAATGGCACTTTAAGTATATACAAAGAACTTAATAAAAGCCTCAGAACGATTTTTCTTTCGTTACATAATAGAAAAACTTTTACCAACATGGATATAGAATTACGGAGAGAAAGTTATCTATTACATAAAAAGGATATCATCGTGAGACAATGTACATTTTGTTTTGCTACATTTTCTACGTTTTCTGCGTTTAATAATACTATCTAATATATGCAGACAAAATTTATTAATTTAACGTAAAACACTAAATAAATATTACACGTATATATTATAATATACGAACTTATTGCACTTTTCTTTATTATATTATAAATCTTTTGATAATTGATTGAATTCACACCGAATGAATTCGCATCGCTTAAAAAACTGTCATAAAATATTTATAGATTTATATAAAATTATATAAATTTGTTATTTTTTGTTTCCTCTTTTTGTCTTATCATTATATACATAATATTACATATACGTTAAAATGAACTAGTATAACTAGTAAACTTATGCTATATAGTAAGAAGGATATATAATTTTACTATTTATAAAGAGCATCCATATTTGGTGTTATTGGCCATTTAAATTGTTTTATCTTATATGGACAGAATGGAAGTACAATTCAACATCAGGCTCGTGCATCATTGATCGTGGTTGGAACCTTCACTTCAATGCCATCTAACTCTTTTGTCATTACTATCTGACATCCTAATCTGGACCTATAAAGAAATATATTTAATATCAAAAACATTTAACATTAATTGATCAAAACGATATATAAATAGCTTTAAAAGTCACTATACAGTTTTCTAAATGCTATTCGAATATGCCATGTTATGTTAAAATTCAAATATCAGATACTACTTGAAATCACTGATTTCAATTCACGAACAGCATGGAAATAACTTAGAAGAAGTCATGAATATATGTAACATATGGAAATGGTCTAGATCTAGACCTCAATAGTAATCTGGCTTTTTTTTTTAAATTGATACGCATGTACTTGACGCCAGTGCTTCTCAAAATGTAGACGCAACTCTGATGACTCATATAGGGTTGCAGAAATTTGAATAAAACTAAACAATTTCTGGCAATGATCAAACATGAATTTAAAATAAGTTTAACAACTACACTTATAATATGCCAATAATTTTATGGTAGCGAAAGAGAGGATACTATAAAAGTTTAAGAAGCCCTGCTTTTAGCAATAAAGAAATCTTTAATTCTGTTTAATTCTTAATGAGAAATATATCAGTAACATACGTATTAGTTAAATCATATGCTAGGTCAAGCATATCCAATTCTTCATCAGTAGGTTTATCAGGAAGACTATCGTACACTTCCTTAGGAAATATTAAATGGCATGTACTGCAAGTTAATGTTCCTTCGCAAGCACCTATGTATAAATCATTTCTAAATAACTAATATTACTTCTACCAACATAGAGATAAGAACTATCTAGCAGATAAAAAAGAAAACAATAATCTGTTAGATATTACATACCATAACCATCTAAATCAATTTCATTATTTACCACTATATCCAATATAGTATCTCCTACTTTGCCTTTTGCTTTTATTCTTTCACCACCAGCTCTAACGAATGTTATACTAACTCTAAGAATAATCATTATTAATTATTTCAATTAATACAATTATTTCATAAGAAAAATATATATTTTAAATCAATGTATATTATTTACTTACTCCTGTTTTTCTGAAAGGGGTTGAGACGTAGATGCTTTCCGTACCAATGAATGAATTATCGGTACTGGAAGATTTTGTCTACATTTATTAGAAATCGAATTTAATGAAAAAATTAATTTTGACAGTTGATGAAATTTATGTACTAACGCCATTTCTTCAATTTATTATCAAAAGATATCAATGATATATTGAAAACTTCTCAATTAGAATTGAAAATTAATTCTAAATTCGCTATAACGTCTCTGATTCGCTACTATAGACAATTTCAGTCATACTGTCCATTAAAAATATTACGAGCTCATTTCACAAGGTTATGAAATACGCCACCATCGCTCACGAAACACCACAGGTAACTACAATTCGTCACGCATAAACTTTTATTCAATGCTACCAATTTGAAAATTATAAATGTATCCGAGAAACTAATTGTTGGTATTCATTTTATTTGATTTTTTTGTGTATACTATAATATATTATCAATTAATTTATGCACATTAATTCACATTTTTCTTTCATCTCAATGAAAATATTCTCTTCTTTTATTATCCCTTATTCGAAAATAAGTCAACATTTTTTTCTATATCGTCTACAATTTCAAAAATTTCTTGTTTATCGAAATTCGAACACTCTTCGTACGCTTTATTTATTTTTTCTGCTAACGTCGTATGTTTTCAATGCTCTGATATTTTTAGAATTAATATTGACTACAGAATAATACGCTAAATATAAAATACAAAATTTACCTCAAAATACTGTTGCTTTACTTTTTCTTTCTTCAAATTACCACTTGTAACTTGTAATGTAAAGGAAAATATTTAAAAATTTGTTTACTATGATAAACAAATGTGTGTATTTTGTTTATAATATAATACAAATGTCAGTCTACTAACCATATACAATTTATACTAGGGACATACCTATACAAATTTTTAAACCAGGCACATGCTGGGGAATTCTGTTATGCTTGTAGTTTATATTTTATCCGTATTTTTTTTGCTGAATTGCACGCGTTTCGAATGAAAAGTTATGTACGTATAACATTATTTTACTGTATATTTCGTAAACTAATTTTTTCTTTGAAAGTATTTGTCTCATTCTATTTTCTCTCTCTCTCTCTCTCTTAATTATTTGCTTTTCTTTTTATTCCAATTTTTTCCCAAGCTTTTCTTTAAACATAACTTTCGGTATAATGTATATGTGTGTGGAAATTACATACTTCAACACACTTTTATATACTATGCGATTCTGTACGTGCATATGTCAGTACTTTAAATGTGAATATGAATTTTTATTTTTATTCAATATTGTAAAATAATATTTCAATAAATTCTCTTACATAACAACTGTTATGAAAATAATAATATTAATAAAAATTCATTTTACATTAAGCCCATTGTCAATTTATCATGATTATTTGGTATCTTTAATATTTCCATAAATGAATTTTAAAGTTATGTACACGTAGCATATTATTTAGGTGAAAAGAATGAAATTATCGGTAGGTTTTATTTATGGATAAGAACTTATCAAAATTCTACTCACGAATGTGTATTTTTATGATATATGATTTCCTAGTTTTGTGATCAACGTTGTTTCAAGATTCCTACTAAAATAAAGTAAGTCAAATATCAAATTTCGTTGCTGCTTCAATTTAGAATTTGAATGAATTAGTAAAATATGTCTAAAGCTTAATAAAGTATTAACAAATGTATTTTAATATATACTTAATATTATAAGAAAAAATTTCAATCATATGTGATAAAATGATGTAGTTTATAAACTTTTAAGGATTCTTATTTTAGATAACAATGGGAAGCTTAGAATTAATACAAACATTAAGCGGACATTCTGGAAGAGTTTGGAACGTTTGTTGGCATCCAAAAGGCACGTATCTTGCGTCGTGCGGAGAAGATGCAATCATTAGAATATGGAAAGAAACTAATTCCGATTGGATTACGACTATGTTATTAACCCAGGGTCATACGAGAACCATTAGAGAAATCGCTTGGTCTCCTTGTGGAAATTACATTGCTTCTGCCAGTTTTGATGCTACTACATCAATATGGGATGGAAGATCCGGAGTATTTGAATGCAATGCGACATTGGAAGGACATGAATATGAAGTTAAGAGTGTAAGTTGGTCTTCCAATGGGCAATTACTTGCAACATGTAGTCGTGATAAAACCGTCTGGATATGGGAAGCAAAAGACAATGAATATGAGTGCGCTTCGATCAATAATGCTCATACTCATGATGTTAAAAAGGTATTTTTCTTTTATAGTTGTTTCAATATTGTTACCTTCTTTATTTACTCTTGTATACAATTAATGAAGATAAAAAAGACTTCATTCATTTAATATTCGTTTGCATTTAATCATAGATAAGATGGCACCCTAACAAAGACATTCTTGCATCAGCTAGTTACGACAATACAGTTAAAATATATGAAGAATACCTACTCGACAGCGACTGGACGTGTTCTCATACATTAGCATCTCATCAATCTACAGTTTGGAGTCTTTCTTTTGATAAAACTGGTGAACGTATAGTTACAGTTAGTGAGGATAAAACTGTTAAAATATGGCAAGAATACAAAGCTGGAAACACAATTGGCATCTCTATCACAAATAATGAACCAGTTTGGAAATGCGTTTGCACTTTGTCAGGATATCATACTAGGGCTATTTATGATGTAGATTGGTGCAAGATAACTGGATTAATTGTAACTGCATGCGGAGATAATATGATCAGAATATTTAAAGAAGACAGTGATTCTTATATGCACGAACCATCTTTTTCAATGGTTTGCTCAATGAATAATGCACATATACAAGATGTAAATTCTGTTCAGTGGAATCCTACCATTGCTGGTCAACTTGCATCAGCTAGCGATGATGGCTTAGTCAAAATATGGCTTTATAATGAGCAAAATGCATAAATGTACTATTACTACTCTTCCTTTTACGGATTTGGGAAATTTTTCCTACGACATCTGCTCAACACAGCTCAGCACAGATGTTCCAAAACAGCCACCCATCAAAGTACTAATCATTGCTTAACTTTAGTAATTGTATGGGAACTAGTATTTTCAACGAGGAGAAGCCATTCACAAATATACTTTTATTATAGTAATCTAAGATTTGTTATGAACTATGTCATATATATTTGTAAATATAATTGTTCACTATTAATATGTATATTTCTTATATTTATCCCTGTTTTTCACTGATGTGATATTGTATTTTCATTATTATTTAAATAATATAATATATTATTTGATTTTTATATTAATATATTACTAATGTAATATTTATATTGACTAAATAATATACTTTTATTTTAGGTTTGAAAATAGATGTTGCGAAAACTACCAGCATTCGTAACAAATCAGAAGTTTTGTTTTTATACGTTAATCCGACATTACAATAAAACACCTACCATGACTGATCTAAAAGCTAATAAAATGGGCTTGCCGTTGAAAGAAATTTTGGATGCGTTAAACAAATTCGCAAATACATCTTTAGCTGAATCCTGGGATAATGTTGGATTATTAATCGAACCCACATATCCAAAGGACGTAAAAAATATCTTGTTAACAAACGACTTAACAGAAAATGTCTTGAATGAAGCGTTAAACCTGTCAACGGATATGATCATTTCATATCATCCTCCAATATTTTTACCACTTAAATCTATAACCATGAAAACATGGAAGGTAACGAAAAAATCGTAGTTATTGCTACGATCGATTGATAAGTTAAATGTATTTGTTTTTATTTGTTTACATAGGAACGTATAGTCGCAAAATGCTTAGAAAATAAAATAGCCGTATATTCTCCACATACTGCATTTGATTCAATAAAGGGAGGCGTAAATGATTGGTTGGCTTCAGCTTTCAATAATGGTTAAAAATATAATACTTTTATAATATTTTTATTATGATAGCACATATATTATTAATTAATTATTATCCGTAATGTGTGATTACAGTGATAGATAGTAGTAAACCAATAAAACCAAGTGAGAACATAGAAAATGGTATGGGCCGTCTATGCATTTTTAAAGAGAAAATACATATAGACGAAGCAGTACGTCTTGTAAAACAACACACTAAATTGAAATTTGTGAAGCTGGCCCATGCTCCGAAGTCAGGTATAACGTTATTTACAAAATCTTCATTAAAAATTAAAGATACTACAATTAATTATTTTTTTTTTCAGATGGCTTTATAAATTCCGTTGCTGTATGTGCAGGATCAGGATCAATCATTTTAAAAAATGTACAAGCTGATTTATATCTTACAGGAGAAATGTTACATCACGATATACTCGATGCAATTCATAATGGAATTTATGTTATTTTAACAAATCATTCTAATTCCGAACGTGGTTTTCTCGAAAGTTTTGCATCAACATTATCAAATGCATTAAATAATTCTGTAAATGTTAATGTATCTATCGTTGATGCTGATCCTTTGGAAATCGTATAATTTAAAACGTGTTCTTTGATGAAACAATCATTTCATATAATAATTTTATTGTTTCATTTATAATTATATACTTTTTTTGGATAACAAATATTATGTTATTATACATTCATATTTTCTTGAAATATTTATTTCAAAAGAGACAGATAAACATATTGTTAAATATAAAGTAAATGTCGATGTAATTATATATTTCCATGTGTTGTGCATATAATAATTTTATCGATTTTTCCTATAAACCAGGGCTTATCAAAGTGTAGATCGCAACCCCGTGTAGGATCGCAGAAATTTGAACAAAACTAACAAATTCGTGAAAGAAAAGATAGTATAGAATTTATACCTAGAGTTGCGAAAATCTTTGTTCAGGTAAAGAGGATTGTCGCCAAGTGTAAAAGTTAGAGAAGCCCTGCTATAAACCAATTGTATTAAGGTATACACACAAAACTAGCTTAACAATACATACTAAAATGAGATATATATGTTAATACAAAATACACTATAAATTGGTAAGTAATTTGGCAAAATGAATAATAGAAATTATTATGAATTTAAAAGTTATAAAAGGAATAGATATATATTTTTTTTTTTTCACGGCATTTATTAGTCTACCTAATATCAAATTTAATGACTACACTATAAAAGTAACGTTGCCCAAATGTAATACATCATTACGGAATATGTAATATGTGTAATATTGATATGTAGTTATAAGTAAAATATAATGATAAAATGGTTACTTGACATCAATTATTTCGTAAATTAACTATCGTTTGCTTAATAAAGTATAGATATGAAAGTTCTTACTAAGAAGGATATTGTGAACTACTGATTTCAAACTTTGCATCAAATTTTGATATTTTTTTATCGTATATATACATTCAAATATGATTTTAAGTAATTTGTTCTTTATCTCGTAGGTTCTATTAAATAAAATCTAATTCAGCTATTTATTTTTAAATAAAAGTGCACTATATTGAGATATTGCACATTCAGAAAGCTTAGTAACAATTATTACAGCATATTTCGCATAATAGAATTAATCAGTGATCACAACATTTGATGTTATAAGATCTAATAAATCTATAAGATATAACGCATCACACTGAATAATAAAATAAAATAGTTTTTCACCCAAAATAATCTAATACATTTCCTAATATGAAAGATAAAGATTCTCGTCTACAAAATAAACTACGTTTTGTTAATATTTGTCTTCTTGTCTTTTTTTCTCTACCTTTTATAGGTTCGGGTCACTTTTCTATCAACACCTTCTCAAACTTATTTAATACTACCAAAGAGGTCGCGATTAATATTTATAACATTAAACAGAAAAGAAAAGAAAATAATTAATTATTGCATGTACAATAGATTATAGATATGTACATTGTCAATGTCTTACACATACTTGTTCGAATTAAAAAAAAATTACTAAATAAATATAATATATGACATGTAAAGCCAAATCAAAATTATAGATATGTATGCATATTTCTTAAATTATAGAGTGAATGTAAAAAGTTGTACATACAAAAAATAGATGAAATTAACCTTTTGCCTTATAGTTTAATTTGCAAGAATCAAAAACCGCGATGGGACGAGTAGAGCTCTTGTGATCGTTCATGTAAAAGGCAATGGTGCAATACCGTGCAGCTTTTATGCGTTTATTTTTTTTAAATAAAACATTAAATATGAGCACTTTATTTACCTTAAAATATTTCTTTTTAATGCTTTCTTATACGCGTGTGTGTCGATAACTCGACGGATTAAAAGTAGTTTGATCAAAATAATCAATGAATATTAGTAATATTTAAGAATTTATAAATGCAAATAAAAAAGTACTAGTATGTATTATTTGAAAGTTTTATGGCGCGCTCTGGGAGCAAGTGGAGCGAACAGAGCGCGGTATTGCACATGCTAGTTCATTTCTAATATCCCTACCACAAGCTTTGCTCATTATTCTTATGTTCATCATGAAATCCGTTCCACGGTGCTTTCTCAATATTCTAAAGGCAACAGGTTATGATAATCTAAGTTTAAACAGTTGTAAATTGTGTGTGTGATCATATATAAAAGATCTAGTAACGATCTTCGTCTTCTTCGTCCATCACAAAGTCACTACTTATCCCGTAATCTAATGTATAAAGGGGGCTGAAAAGTAACGTACATATATATATTAATATAAATGAATATATTTTTCTATATATCGTTTCTTATGAAAATGGCGTAAGTTTATTAAATTGTTTTATTATATATAGTATAAATATAAATATAATTATAAATGAAATATATCAAAATTATGTTTTCTCAATTTTCTTTAAAAAATAAACTTATACCAATTTCGTAACAAGCCGTTCATATATTCAAAATGAATTTCCTACTCACTTAATTGCTCTGCACGTGAAAAAGACAATACGTTTCAATTTTTTATTGTAAAAGAAATAATTAAAAGACCACAGGCATCCATCTTCTCCAAATGGATCTGATGCAAAGTCTGGATTATAGCTACAATATTTGTATTTGTTATATTATTTATACATTTATTTGAAGCAATGGTGTAGTTTACCACTCTCTTTCAGATCTGATGTTTTATTGAATATAGGAAAGCATTTTCATATAATCTCACCTGTAAATATCACATTCGGTCAATGATATTTCATCACCAATAGCACCCCAAAGAGCGGAACGTAAAGTACGATAATGATCCCCAGCAGTTGCGCTAAGATTGCTATCAACTGCATTCATTACCCACTGTAAGCTTGGCTCTTTACTAAATTCATGGCTTCTGGCATCAGAGAAATCATAATCAGGATGAAAAGCTGAGTTTAAGGTTGCAATCAGATAGAATAATGTTTTTCTGCTTATTGTATCACATAAAGGTCCATCTTCGTCACCAGAAACACTATGACTAAATATATAAATATACAAATAATGTTAACTTATGAATCAATCAACTATAGAAAAATATTAATCCCTTGCACTATAAAATACTGTATAAGACTTGTGATATGCTTTAAAGCCTAAACATACAAAATACTAAATATAGCATTGGTTTTGGCACACAGCTCCGTGTGTTTGCAAGGGATTAATAGCTTAATATCAACAAATTATAAACATTCAGGCAAAAACAGAAATTGTAATTATGCCATTAATACCTAAAATATCTTTGAGCGGGTGATGTTCCTAAAGATGTTTGCGGTGGTGATAAAGCTTGAAGGTCGTGTGGTGTGACTCCTTGCTCTGCATTGAAACGTTTGTACAGTTGTTTATCATTTCCTGTCATCTTACAAGAATAACTTTCAATCCTGTAATAAAAGATATTAATATTTTCTAATGATACATTGAAATGATATTTAGTTTGGCACATACCTTCCAATTATCTTGCTATCTCCGGTCTTAATAAACAAGGCACTGTTTATAGCTTCAAATCGTGTACTCTCTAGCAATTTCATTATGACAACACTGGTTTTCTTTACGTTATATAAAAACAGTGATTTTGTACTAGAGACTTATTGTGCATTCCTCAACACAAAACGATGTTAGATCATTCGTGTTGCTTCATCTAACGTGATGAATTTTCTATTATATCAAACTTGATTTACTTTTCAATAACTCAATCAAGTAATTCAATATAAACGAAATGTCAAAAAACTTCTATGATTTCGAAGACTTATTGAGTTTCTGTTCATATTTCTCAGGTGTATGAAAATTCCTTTCCTTTTTGAATGTACGAAATTAATTGTAGAAGTAATAATTTTTCTTTCAGCACTGAACTTGTACATCACAAATCACTGATGAAAGACTGGACTTACGTTGCTCTTATAGATTTTGATTAAGGATTAAGCTTTTTTTTCAAGGGTAAAAGTATTGTATTGAAAAAGTACGTTAAAAGTATTGTATTGAAAAAGTACGTTAAAGACGGTTAGTTGTAGACGCCAATTGATTGTCTCAGAGGGGAAATTATCTTTTGCGTTTTATTTTATTTAATAAAGCGTATAAACGCGAAGGTGAATGAAAAAAAAGTGTAAATCGAGGTAGAGTCAAATGGTATTCGCGAAATTGCTTTAAAGAAACAGAGATAAAACTTCATACGTCCGCTATTGTTGAAAACAATCCATAATCACGGACATTGTTGTCACTGAGTGATCAAATAATCACGATCACCCTGAAATATAATCACTGTATATTCTCACAACAAAAAATCTATTCGTATACTTTAGAGATATATATATATATATACGTAATGTGTCACTTTTTGATAGGAATATTATTGCTTAGAAACGAAATTTAACTCGATATACATAAGTACGCAAGAAAATAAATGTATACGCTACGTGACAGAAATAGCTTATGAAGCGCTGCAGCCTCTTTTCCCCCTTTACTCTTCTGATTGGCTGATGATTCTTGCTTTATAACCTAGCATACGCACATATATGTCGTATATATAGCGTGTGGTATGCCTACACATATTCATTTACTTATCAATGTCTCTCTTTCTCTTTCTTCATCCAACGAAGCTCTATACAAGGAGGACAATCGAGATAGGCGTTCTCGTCGAATTTGTGACGTTGAAAATGAGGATACATCGGGTACGATAATTCTCCACAAGGGCGGCGATGGTGTTCGAGGGTTCAGATTTTAGTACGTGTGTGTGTGTGTGTATACTATGGGTGCGTTCCACTAAGCGCTCACACGATCACGCTCACGACCACAGTTTTTCCCGTTCCACTTACCTACGAGCGTTACTGTCGTAAATTCAAGTGGAATGGACTATGGTGCGTTTTGAGCGTGAGGTAATAATACAAATGGCGAGGTAGTGAAAAGAAAGTAAAAGATTAAAGAGGTTAAGATTTAATCTGTAATCCTTCATGTCAGTTTCACGGTCGCCATTTTTATTGTAGTCAGTTTCGAAAAAACCGTTAATTTTCTCAACGCTCACTACGACCCACGTTTTCAGATGGGTCGTTGTGAGCTTCGCGTGAGCGTTAGTAATGACGTTTCCGCCGCGACCACAACGACCGCGGTCGTTATGTGGAACGACTAAAGGAGCATTTTGATCATTGTGAGCGCTTAGTGGAACGCACCCTATATATATTTGAAAAATCAGACCATGCGAATCGACGCGCTCTCTAGTGGCAATAGAAATCATCCTCTCATTGTGAATATTGTAGCCACATTTATAGCACTGCGATCGTCCTCCTTGTATATAGGTTCCGTGTTTTCCCTATTCTTCTTATTTCAAACATTCGAGGTTTCCTCTCCTCCTCAAGCATTTTATTTCGCACCAATTTCTCACCAAACATCATTCTACACGAATATTCGACGTGAAGTTGTTTATCTACATACTCGACAGTTCAAAATAAATTGTTCATCAGATTTATTAACTGTCTATAATTCCCTTTGAAACTTATATATTAATATATTGTTTGGACAAGAATATTGATAATTAAATTTTAAGTATTATATATAATATAATATATACATATGTGTAATTGTATAATTTTAAGTGCAATAAACAATTATAATAGATACAGTAATAGTCATTTATATACATTATTTACATATGTAAATTTAAATGCATTGTATTTTAAACAGAGTCGCAAAAACCTTAAAGGTCTTGCGACACTGGTTTTTCTTTTTCTTTTTATCCAATTTTTCATATAAAAAATAGAAATTCTAATAAGTATTTTTAAAATATATGCTTATCAATTGAAAATTTTGTTATCCGCATAGATATGTAAGTAAATATTAAAAACGTGATTTAATAAAAAACAAAAGAAAAAAATTAAATGAATTGAAAGACTATCAATAGAAAAAAAATGTAATCAATATACATAGTTACATAATTTTTCATTTTTTATTGCATTATTATTACATTAACTCTGGACGCAAAAGAAAGTTTATTTAAATTAAAGAGAGTCATTTTGAAATGTACGATTATTTCAATATGTCATGTTTAGATGATAAAACTGCGCTTAGATTAAATATAAAAGGTAAATATGTTGATGCAAGATTAATGCCACAAGTCATACTATAATAATATTTCTATTTAATATATTTTACCATAGTAAACAGTGAAAATTTATTACCAGTTCCACAAAAATACAATGTTGGATCATTAAGGTAAATTATATAAATTTATAATTTATTTTTAATATACGTAACAAAGTTTGAACACATTACATTTAAATCAAAAAACTGTTACATCAATTTAGATTACCTGAAGATCCATCATGGCCAAAAATTCCACAACGTAAATTAGCAGATGATGCCGATGACATCATTCATCCTCCATACATTATTACATTAACAGATACACCAAGGAAAAGTCGTTCTACAGTACGTACGCCGCAATGTCAGTAAGTGATATATTAAATAATCTCATAGAAATTTTAATATTACTTCGTTTTTAAGCAGTAATAAATAAACGTGAAAGAAATTCTTCTTAAATTACAGATCATTCAAAACAATGGAAATGAAAGATCTAAACTTTTCCGTCTATCAACCACTTAATACAATGAAAAGGAAACCAAGTTCTTTGGATCCTCGTTTTAAGCGGTATAATATTTTACGATGTAAAAAATGGATGTTTTATACATAAAAAAAATAATTGATTAAAATATAATATTTATTATTTTATATAGTACGACTGCAGTTAAAAATCAGACTATACCGACGACACAGTCTAATAAACAAAATAATCATTTGAAAGAACCACAGCAGTCTGCTCTTATCTTAGAAAGATCACAATTTCCCTGCAAAACGATGAACAAAACTGCTTCTGAGAGAAATTTAAATATGTACAGTTTATTTGATTATTAATAAGAAATATTTAAGTTTAGTTGCAATTATAATAAATCTCACGATAGACTTTATAGCAGTTAAAATAAATATTTTATATAGTCAGCAGATAATACAAGAAAATATGAAGAAGCCAGAAAATGAAGAAGTAATTAAATGTAATAATAATCAATTTAAACAAGAACTTCTAAATGGAGGATTACTTCAAAAAAGTAATGTGGGAGATAACAACACACTGGAGTGTAAAGCTAACGTAGCAAAGGATCATAATACAATAAATTTAACAAATATAAATAATGCAAGTATAATAGATTCTGTAGACATTAAAGAAAATATTGATCCCAGCTCAGAAAATAATAAAAATATCATAAATAAAGAAATATCTATGGGTGAACAAATATCAACTTCTATCTGTAATGAAAAACAAATATTAGAAACTAAAGCAAACAATGATTTAAAAGGGCTACCAAAAAATCAATCATTACAATCTGCTAATGTATGTATATTAATATATTAGACATTCATACAATTTAAGTATCTTATTAATATTTTTAGAAACTTTATTCATATACAAATATTACATTATGAATAAACATTTAAATATATTAATTTAGCTAAATTTGTATTTGTTTAGGAGTCTGATAGTCCAATCTTGCTTGTAATGGAGAAAAAAGTACATCCTTTACCTATTGACAAAATATATGCAACACAATGTTACAATGTACAAGTACCAATAATTACATATCAAAATGTACCTTTAAAAATATCGACTTGTCCATCGGGAGAGATTAATATTTCCCCTTATATTGCAACTACCTTGCCAATAACTGACTTATATACAACTACGCAATTTCAAGTAAAAGATACAAACATTCATACATCATCGCTTGAAAAACAAAATTTGGATAATCTACAAAAACAAAATGAAGTAGTAAATACTGCAAAAATTGGTACTATAGATATTCGAGATAAGCAGAAAAATCTTATTTTAGAGAATAAAACGGAGGACAGATTTTCAGAACAGTCCACAGTTGAAGAAAATTATTATGATACTTCTTCTTTACCAAACAACAATAAAATTCCGATTTCTGTTGGTAATAATAATAATGTTAATTGTTCTAACGATTATTTAAAAGTTATATCACATCAACGACCAACAGAAATTAGTGATTCAGGTGCTTATACATCTATTAAAATTCCAAATTTAAAAAAATGTACTTCAAGTAAACAGCGGAAAATGAGATCCGAAGAAAATTTGTCGCTAAAAAAAAATACATATGGTAAAAAACTCTTTCAATCTTCGGAACCACATATTACATCCAGGCGAAAACGAATAAGAGCTAATTTTTCTAAAAGAGCCAGATCTTACTTTCAAAAAAAGTCTAAATCCAGAGTAGTCAATTCTAATGGCACTTTAACACAGCCAAGTTATCAACAAACAAACTATAAACATGATACAAGATTTTTGAAAATTGAACAATATACGAAAGATAAAAATTGTCATTTCTTAATGTTAAAGAAACCTATTCATGAAAGAAATAAGGATAAAAATATGGATTGCATTAAGATGGAATCTTCGGTTGAAAATCCCACTATCTCTTGCGATGTCTTTTGTCAGCAGAGTAAGGAAAATAAATATAATAGTTTGGAAAGATTGGATAAAAATAACTCTATTGAAAGTTCTGTAAGAATACCTCTTAAAACGCAAGAACTATTAAATAAAAGTTATCTGGAATACTATAATAAATTAAAACAAAATTCAGGCAACATGGAAAATGTACGACAAAAGTATTTTCATAAAGTGGCGTTAGACGCTCCTTATGTTAAAAAAAGAAAAAGCAAACTATTCTGTAATAATATTTATAGTGATCGAACTAAATTTAATCCAGAAATACAAACAATAGAACAATGTTCAGCTCTATCAAGTATAATTAATAAAAATCTGTAAGTTTTGACATCATACATGTATAGAAATAAATATATAGACATACGTATTTATAATTCAATAATATTTAGAGATTCCACTGTACAACATTTGAGCGATACAACGGAAACAAAACAAATATATGTTAATAGAAATATCAGATCATCTTCAGATCCTACAGGAGGAATTCAAATTAAAACGATACAAAATGTAGCTTCTAAGATACCCGCAGATATTTATGAAAATTCCATTACGTCGTCTACGTTTGTACATAAAGTTAAACATAAGAAGGAGAAGTATATCGAAAAACGATTTCTTAAATTAAAAACCATCCGTAAGTGTATAGAATAAGATAGATTTTAAAGAGAATTTCTAAAATATACTTTATTTCAGTATTTTTCGGCACCATAATGTATGCCCTTGTTGTATTTTTACCTATGATCTATGATTACTTCTTTTACGAAGATTACGATGATTACCAGGATTTGGCGTATATCGAATTTATAGTAGATTATACGATTTCGTCTTTTAAAGAAGCTTTTAGTAGTTTTTTTAATACATTTTATAGAATCTTTTTTCAGCCGGTAAGACTTAACAAGAAATATTAATTTTCAAGAATGTTTATAAAATATATAAAGGCAACATTTCTCCCTTTTGGGCATGGCTATTAGAATTTTATAATAATATATATAGTAAATAAATTTCTGTAGATTTTTGTAATTTTCAGCAGCGTGCCTGTAAGAAATGTAACGGCATTTCTTAAACTTGTTGCTAGCGATTATTTCATTACATACAAAATGAAAGATGAAAAGTATTTTTTGATATACATATATTATTTATTATTTTTATATAGAGATTATTTTATACATGTATAATAAAAAATTTTCTTAGTTTTTCATAAACATTCTAAAATATAAATGTGTAAATAAATTAGATTTATTTTTTCATTTCCCAACTAAACGATTTAAGGAACTTAAAAAGAAAAAGAAAGTAGGACTCGTGAAAGATCATACTGTTAATATTTATAAAGAAAAAAAACAAAGAAGATTTTCAATAAAAATGCAAGATATTTTTTGCAAAAAAGTTTTCAAAATAGATGACATTCGTGAAGGAGAAAAATAAAAAAAACAAAAGTTCAAAGCAAACAATTAATTCTTAATTACTCCACGTTGAGAATCACGGCTGGTGATTGGTAGTATTGTATTTCTCTAGATAAATGTCACTAAAAATTATGAAGGAAGTAACCATGAAAACAAGTGAATTGTTCGGTGAACTTCGTGTACTTTCGGAAGCTTTGATGGCGCCATCTTGAAGGCGGGAGAGTATACGAAACATATATAAGGCTCGCACACGCGTTTTTTTCGGTCACTTTGCCTGATTTACGGAGGGTATACTTTTGGTTCTCCCAAGAATTAACATTTGTTCTTTGAAATATAAGGAACCACGTGGAAGAATAAAATTCACGATAGTTATAATAATTAGACAAATTAAAAGTATATATTAGTATCAATGGCCGACTATATGATAAGTGACAAGATGCCAGGAGATCTGCCGTTACCGGACGATGGTCTTACGGCAGCACAACTGTTTGCTAACGGCGATGGGCTTACATATAACGATTTCATCATTCTCCCAGGATATATTGATTTTACTGCCGAAGAAGTGGATTTATTATCACCACTTACTAAGAAGATAATGTTAAAAACTCCTTTGGTTTCTTCTCCAATGGACACTGTTACGGAATCGGACATGGCAATTGCTTTGGCTCTTTGCGGTGGAATCGGAATAATACACCATAATTGTACACCAGAATACCAAGCTAATGAAGTCCATAAGGTATATGTAATGGAATATTAACATAGTATTCCTTTAAATTTCCTTTTAACTTCAGGATATTTAAAATTTTTAAAATATTCTCTACTTGTTGATTGAACATAATTTAACATACAGAAATATATTTTTTTAGGTAAAAAAATATAAACATGGATTCATTAGAGATCCGGTTGTGCTATCGCCTCAGCATACTGTAAATGAAGTGTTAAATATAAAAACAGAACATGGATTTTCTGGTGTACCAATCACGGATAGTGGAAAAGTAGGTGGTAAACTTCTAGGCATTGTAACCTCCAGAGACATTGATTTCCTTGAAGATTCGTCTTATCAAAGATATACTAAGTTGGAATCGATAATGACGAAATTAGATAATTTGATCACTGCACCAGCCGGCGTAACGCTGCAAGAAGCAAATGTAATACTGGAAAAATCAAAGAAAGGAAAACTTCCTATAGTTAATGAAAAAGGAGAACTTATTTCGTTAATGGCGAGAACAGATTTAAAGAAAAATCGTAGTTATCCGAGCGCCAGCAAAGATGAGAATAAGCAATTATTAGTAGGCGCTGCTATTGGAACACGTAATTCCGATAAGCAAAGATTACAACTTTTAACAGCTGCTGGAGTCGACGTAGTTGTATTAGACTCATCTCAAGGGAACTCGATTTACCAAATTGAAATGATTAAATATATCAAATCTGAATATCCGGACTTGCAAATAATTGCAGGCAATGTGGTAACCAGTCTTCAAGCTAAAAATTTAATAGAAGCAGGAGCTGATGCATTGCGTGTTGGTATGGGTTCTGGATCTATTTGTATTACTCAAGAAGTAATGGCGGTAGGTAGACCACAAGCAACTGCAGTCTATAAAGTAGCGGAATATGCCAGAAAATTTGGAGTACCTGTTATAGCTGATGGTGGTGTACAATCTATTGGGCATATTATCAAAAGCCTTAGTTTAGGTGCCTCAACGGTTATGATGGGATCATTATTAGCTGGAACTTCAGAAGCACCTGGTGAATACTTTTTCAGCGATGGAGTTCGTTTGAAAAAGTATAGAGGGATGGGTTCTTTAGAAGCCATGAATAGAACCGATGCAAAGGGTTCAGCCATGGATAGATATTTTCATAATGAAATGGATAAATTAAAAGTAGCTCAAGGGGTAAGTGGTTCCATAGTCGACAAGGGATCCGTTTTCAAATTTGCTCCTTATTTACTTTGTGGTATAAAACATGGATGTCAAGACATTGGTGCAAAATCTGTATCCAGTTTAAGATCCATGACATATAGCGGTGAATTAAGATTTGAGAGAAGGACACCTTCCGCTCAACAAGAAGGAAATGTCCATAGCCTGTTTTCTTACGAAAAACGTTTATTCTAAGTATCTTAGTCATAAGAGATATGTATACAACTAAAGTACCTGCATTTAACTGCATACAACTACCATGGGTATTGAAAACCTGTTATATATTAGTATATTAGATCGTAACATAAATAAGTTTATACTTGCAATCAAATTTATTTATGTTACGATCTTAATAGTTATGAAACTATTCACGTTTCATTATATTTTACTATTAAAACAAATATAATTTTATTAACGACATCCATATATAGCAATAAGTTTGTGTTAATATTATACAGTAAATTGTGCATATATTATGTTATATATGAGAAGAGAAAACTTGAATGAAACTTTATTGTGAGAAATTTTAAATTTATTACTTTTTCTTTTTCTACGATTATCTTGACTGAGTAAATTTAGCTCTTTGGTATAATGTGCCAAGAAATTAAAAGGCAAAATTAAATTATTATTGATTATTTAGTTAATTGACTATTATGAATTACTGATATGTAATTATTTATATTAATAGAACACTGTAAATTAATTGATTTATATTCAGAACCAATTTTCTTGTTTTTATAAATAGATTAATGAATGAATTTATTCATTCTGATCTCTTTTACATAAAGTAGGAATCCATATGTCCAATTAATTCATTTTCTCATTGAAAATCTTTTAATAGGATCATAAAAGGCTAATTACAATTATGCAAAAATTTTATACTTGTCTCGTATATTTAGATGTCATTTACAAATTATACAAATATTTTAACGAATCTGATTTGAAATTCTTGAAAGTTATAAAAAAAATATTCAAAAGTCCGACTTTTTCTAAACAAATTAGCCAGTCTTCTAGTTTGAGTTATTTTACAAACGTAAATGCTCCATTTTATGATCTATATTTTATACAAATGTTGTTACAGACAAAAATTGTATGTTTTGAATAAATATGTACTTAAAGTTATAAACCATAAATATATAATACGTTTATTCGAATTTATTTGTAATCCTTATTGAAGAGTTTACATAGTTTAGCATCAAGCGTTAACGTTAAACATTTTTCAACGTTTGAAAAGAAGAAAATAAATAAAGCCTTCTTAGTAACGATGAACATACAGATATACAAATGTAGATTACAGTTTAAAAAAAAATGTAAATCGTCGCTAACATAACGTTTACGTAAACGCATTCCTAAGTTCTTTTAGAGCAGAACTGTAATATTCGTGTTAGTAAGTAAGCATTACATGTCACGTAATATACGATAGGGTTGCTCAAGGTGAGGATTGTCGTTCACTGATCTATCTATCTCACTCGTAATGCTTAAAGAAGTAGTTTGTATTTTGCGTAATCAAATCCATGCAATTCTAAGTACTTTTTTTTAATTATTTTTACTATAATCATAAAATTAACAAATAAAAATACATTTATCGTTAATAATTTATGTATCGTATGTATATATAAATACGCGAATGGATTGAAAAGTTTTGAGCCTAACATGGAAACAATATTTTCCCCTCAAACTTGCTTCTATTTTAAAAAAAAAAATAAAGGTTTTTTTTACCGAGGCTCAACCTAGCCTCGTAATATATCAGAGAATCAAATTTTCAACTTTATTTTGAATTGAATTTGAGAAAAAAACTAATGCTATGGTATAATTAAATTCTAGCTATGGTATAGCCATCTGTATGGTTGTTTCGAATGCATTGCAAGGAGGCTAACATAACCTATATTTACTTCTAAATTATTGCTTGGAACAATTAACGACGTTTTCTTGATTAAATTTTATTTATAAAATGGTTGTATGCAACGTCGAATGTATAAAAAAAATTATTCAATATCTAGATGTTCCATCGGATAAATTACGTTTATGTGAAAGTAATGTGAGTAATTGCTTGTTTATTTTTTGTTTATGTCAATTTAGTTTAAAAAGAATATTGAAATAGTATTTTAATTCATGTATTTTAGCTTTAATTTATTTGTAGATAACGAATATTAGTAATTTACAAGCGAATGATCCTGTTTTGTACTTTAGTACTTTGATACAAGCTTTGGTAAAAAACTCTAAATACCCTGACATACTTGGCAATGATAAAGAGACGCAAGCTTCAACACGTCAATGGTTGGAATATATTGTAATTTGTATTAATTATGCAGATACTTCTGCCAATGTTAGAAAGGTTTTAAAGGTAATTAACAAGATTAGGTAATTATCAAGAAATACTGTAACTGGATTAATTATTCATTTCTTTTCATTATAGGACTTAAATATGGTATTGAGTGATCAAACTTATTTAAGTGGTACGAAGCAGACTATTGCAGATGTTACACTTTATTATACCTTATATAAAATAATGGTAAAAATACGTGTGATAGACAAATATAAAATTAGTTCTGACCCCTTAAGAATCCTTAGTAAGTCATGCGGATCAATATAATCTTTCTATCCTCTTTTACTGTTGCAGAGTGAATTAAGTCACCAAGAGAAGGCACAATACGTTCATGTATCTAGGTGGTTCGACAATTTACAGCAAGATATAAAATTGAGGCAGACATTGGACTTAATCTCGTTCAATTTGATGCATCTGTTCTTATAAAGTAAATAAACAGATTATACTAAATTATCTTGTGTACTGTCTTAATCAATTATAAACTTGTGACGAAAGAAATAAAAATACGAGGGGAAATACTTGTTAATTTTTCTAATTGTAGAGTTAATTAATAATTTATGTAATTCGGAATTACATAAATTAGATCTTATTTTACAAAAGTCCCATACGACCTTGACAAGAACGATGTTTTTGAAATTATATCAAATACTAGATCTTACTGCTGGCATAGTGTATGTTCCTAAGGGACTCTTACAACTGTGCAAAGTTGACAAAAACCGATGTTTACAAGTCTGATGGGGATTTCGTTTGTTTATTGTCGATAACACGTATAAGTCGGTAACTGATCGAATGAAAACAGCAACATTTTTGTCGTCGTGTTGAAGGATTTGCTAAGAGATGGCGTTAATGTTTTTTCTTTCTGTCGATAAAACAATTTGTTTCGATTTTTAATTTTTTTCAAATAATTAACATATTTACATTTCCTCATAGATAATTAATATATGTTTATGAAATAACTTTATGTAGAAATAAATAATTGATATCAAATTAAAAATGATAAGAATATTCGATCAGCGTTATCTAGCGAATGAAAATATAATTAAAATCTTTGTTTAAGCTTAGTACTTTTGACTGAAGACGTACATTACTTTGCTCTTCGAGTTGCCGATCCATCTAGTCCTTGGACCAACATAGGCATACTAAAAACTTTTCCTCGCATTATGTGAAATGTCCGAGCGTAATTCGTTTTCTCAATTAAGCCCGTTGTTCCGAAAAAATGCGGAATTTTCACGATCGGCGCGTTTAATGCGTGCGCCGCACAAAACAAGGAAGCACATTGAAGTAACGTAAAAATTAATCGAATGAAATTCTACGGCCTAGTCTAGTGCTAATTTTTATCATAAATTTTCGCTAAGGATCCCATTGCTTGAAGACTTGAAAATTCAGTACGCTTTTAATAATAACATCGAAATGGCTGATGATTCGAGTGTACGCGTTGCCGTACGGTAAGTTGGATCAATTTTAATATCAAATCTTGCAATGGCTCTATGTCACAACTTTCAGCTTACAAATCTTCTCAAATATTCATCGTAGCGTTCTACTAACGCGTACGTATTCCTACATATATCCATCAAATTGCACTTTTTCAAGGATACTTTTTATCGATATGTCTTGTCATATTTTATTTAAATGTTATTCTAGATTATTATTATACTTAAATTTTATCTATGTAAATAATTACATTTATTTTTATTTTATTTCTAATTACTTTTAAAATTACAACAATCAGCTGTTTTCTCTTGCAGCTTTCGTAACTTTCACTTTTTTTACGTTACGTGGAAGATTTTTAATTAAGAAAATTTGTATCTTTGAGAATATTTTACAAATATTATACGAATTCTTAATGTTAATGGGTAAAAAGTAATAAATAATTTTATTAGTTCTTTCAATGCTTATCTTTTTTTTCTTTGTTTTTTTTTCTCTCTCTTTCTCTCGAGTAAAAATGTTATTCCGATATCGATTCGATACGAATAACAAATTTAAAAAAAAATAATAAAAGCTAATGGCTTTTTATTAATACGTCGTAATATTTAATATAAAATAAAAGAATAAAAGTATATTAAAATACGCTATTTGCGGTAGCGTCTGCTACAAATTGGCGCGACATAACACACGATATTATTGATTTGTCCGCATGATGCTCGCGAAAAAAGAAAGAATAGTATATATGCAAGAATTTCGTTTAAAACATTCGAAAGAGAATGCTGTTTCTCTAATCTAAATAACTATGATTTACGTATAATAAATCTTATCGACGTAATATTCATTATTTTATTTGTAATCGACACTTATCATATTCATTGTTTATCCAGCATAGTTTATTAACGCAATTATTCTAGGCGTTGTCATATTTTCTACGCAGCTTCTAAATGCTAAATCGCTTGATCGCATAATATCTCCTTATAAGAAACAAGCGTGTGTAGGTTTTATTGCCGGCTGCGTAACGAAAACTCAGGTATCTGGATACTTGATTTTCGATGAATGGGTCGCTTCCTCCCTTCTTCCCCCTTTCTTCTCCCGTAGTTCGTAGTATATCGGGTTTATACCAGCAGGTTTCTGTTTATAGTATACATATATTTATTTTCTATGCGATGATTATTATATGTAGGTGTATGTCTTCTTCTTCTTCTTCTTCTTCGTGAAGGAAAAAATGCGACCTTCTCACTTTTTCTTATGGATCGTTTTTTGTCTTGCTGATACGAGAATAAAAATTATATCAACGTTGTCAAGTGGAAAATATATTATCTTAGAAATTATCTTTTTATATACGAATTGAATAATAATGCACTTTATTTAAGGGGTGAATTAGTATTTCAAAATTAATAAAAAAATTCAATTAAGATATATTATTAAACGTTGTTATTAATTTTAATTTTCGTTTTAATTTGAATAAAAATTTATATTAATTAAAACGTTATATTTATATATTACAGAATAAGGCCTCAAGTAGCTAGAGAAGTAATTGATATGTGCCGGATTTGTACTCAAGTACCTCCAGGAGAACCCCAGGTCTTTCTTGGACCAGACAAGGCCTTCACTTATGATTATGTTTTTGATACGGGAATTGGTCAAAGTGTTATTTATGAGACATGTGTTGCTCGCCTAATAGAAGGTGCTTTAGATGGATACAATGCAACTGTACTTGCTTATGGTCAAACTGGTTCGGGCAAAACATATACAATGGGTACTGGTTTTGATGTAGAAGTTGATGACAATATTGTTGGTATAATTCCTAGAGCCATTAGACACTTATTTAAAGGAATAGCAGAAAAGCAAGAACGTGCTCGAGAACGTACACAAATGCCACCAGAATTTAAGGTTTTATTCTTTGATAATATTTTTGTTTACCACGTTTGTTATGAATTATTGATATAGTATTTTCTTTTTGAACAGGTTACAGCACAATTTTTAGAACTATATAACGAAGATTTAAAGGATTTATTAGAACCAGGTGGTCCGAGAGGTGGTGCACGAATTCACGAAGATACAGCTGGCAATATACATTTAGCTGGTGTTGAGCCGAGAATCGTAACTAGTCCGGAACAAGCATTGGAATATCTACGTTTAGGAGCATTGTCGCGTACAACCGGTTCCACGCAAATGAACACGCAATCTTCAAGATCACATGCAATATTTACATTGTATGTTAAACAACAACGATGCATCAGAGTGGAAGATCCGGATGCTGACGTGGATACAAGCGGTACCGAACCAGCTAATGAATTTGAAACTTTAACAGCTAAATTTCATTTTGTTGACTTGGCTGGTTCAGAACGACTAAAGAGAACAGGTGCTACTGGAGACAGAGCAAAAGAAGGAATATCTATAAACTGTGGATTGGTAGGTATAACAATATCTATCATATAAATAATCTAGAATATAATTTTCATTCTTCTACGATCATAGAAATTTGTAACTTTATAGTTGGCACTGGGAAATGTCATTTCTGCACTTGGAGATAAAGCAAAAAAGGCATTACATGTACCCTACAGAGATTCAAAATTAACTAGATTACTGCAAGATTCTTTAGGAGGTAATAATAAATATACAATGGATAAAAGAACTTCAAGGATATATTCACTGATTAAATTTCGTGTTTACAGGCAATAGTCAAACTGTTATGATAGCTTGTGTTTCACCAAGCGATAGAGATTTTATGGAAACTTTAAGTACTTTAAAATATGCGAATAGAGCTAGAAATATAAAGAATAAAGTTACTATTAATCAAGATAAGAGTTCAAGAACGATTGCTTCTCTTAGAAGAGAAATACAGCAGCTTCAATTAGAATTAATGGAATATAGACAAGGTATCTTACACATCACACACAAACACATACACACATATGTATATAAATGTTTTCTCTATATAATAAACTATTGACTACATTTACTATTTTATTCATATATCTTGATTTCAGGGAAAAGGGTTGTTGGTGAAGATGGTATGAACGATGCATGGCACGAAAATCAAATGCTAAACAGTGAACTACAAAGTCTTAGAACAAGAGTAAAAGCACTCTCTGAAACGGTCGAGGCATTGACTGCTAAAAATGTACTTTTATTAGCAGAGAAAGCAGCAGGACAATGGGTATCTGCATCGGGTGGAAGTGGTGAACAGGTAACTAGCTTGGTCCAAGGATATGTTCAAGAAATAGAAGAATTACGAGCTCGATTATTAGAAGCAGAGGCTATGTATCAACAATTGAAAAAGCGACAGATTCAGGTATGCTATTATATATTCGCAAGAGCAATTATTATGCTATTATTATTGTATATTCTCCTTTATTTTTGACTAAATATTGCTTGCAGGTAAATGCTGCAAATGCATATGGAGATAGTTCATATATTTTACAAAGTGATTCGTCGACAGTTTTAATTGATGCTAAAAAAGAATTACAAAAAGAAGTAGAAGCATTGGCTGCTTTAAAAGAGCAACAAACACAGAATGCTAATGTTACAAATAAGGCTGTGGATGAAACAGAAATTGATGACACAGAAAACGGACAAGAGTCTATTAGCGAGGATGATTCCGATGATGATTCAGATCGTAAAGGTATGCTTATTAATATTGTGTATTTTATTAATATCGTTTATATATTAATCTTCTAATGGATGTTCCAGAGGAAGATGAAGAAGAAGAAGCTATGGGCCGTGAATTAGAAGCTTTAACGTCAGACATCGATGTTAAGCAACGTTTAATTCAAGAATTAGAACTTTCTCAAAGACGTTTACAATCTATGAAGCAACATTATGAAGACAAACTTGCTCAGTTGCAAGCACGCATTAAAGATACGCAAGAAGAAAGAGATAAGGTATTATCTTCTTTACAACAGCAGCCAACGCAACCCACTGAAAAAGTGAAAAAATTAAGGGACGAATATGAAAAAAAAATATCTGCCATGCAGAAAGAAATGCGGCTTCTCCAATCGGCGAAAAAAGAACACGCGAGATTACTTAAGAGTCAATCTCAAAATGAGAATAGACTACGTGGACTTCGAAATGAATTAGCAGAGATGAAGAGAGCTAAAGTAAAACTTTTAAATAAAATGAGAGAAGAGGCTCAAAGACATAAAGAAAATGAATTAAAACGTAATAGAGAAATTGCACAATTACGTAAAGAAAGTAGAAGAAATGCAAATATGATTAGATCTTTAGAAGCTGATAAAAGGATAAAGGAAGTAGTTCTTCGGCGCAAACAAGAGGAAGTATCGGCTCTAAGAAAAAGAGATAGAGGACTCAGTCAAAAAGTGGCTGGTAGAACACTGTCCAAACCTATTAATCCAAAATCATTGAAACAACGGTGGCAAACTTTTGAGAGAACTATTACTAAACAAGCATTGGCAAAACAAGCTGCAGCTGAAACAGAAAGAGAAATGGAGAGATTATTGCAGGAGAGAGATGAATTAGGTAGAGATTTGGATAGATTACAAAAACAGAGAAATACTATTACAACTAGCAGAGGGGATACTACTGATATCGACGAAGAAATCGATAATTTTAAAAGTAAAATAAGTTATTTACAGGTAATAGTGAATTTTATTTACATTCTTGATCTATCTATTTATAAAGATATTATAATCAAGGTGATTTTTATAGGATAGTATAGCCGATTGTCAAAGAGATATGGTAGAGATGGGAGATGGTGAAGTAGAGAGTGAACCTGGTGTTGAAGCATTGATTTCCACTATTCGTACCGTAGACGAAGCTCAATATTTATTAGAAAGAATGCTGGCATTTACAGTCGAGCAAAGTTACGTAGCTGCACAAAAACAACTTGAAGTAAGAGATATGAAATCGCGTTTAAATCAAGTAGCACAAGAAAGCGACGTGCAGCATCAATTACTCGAACATGTTTTACGCGACAGAGATCTTTTGTCTCTTACAAATAATCATAATACAACGACATATAGTCCTCCTAGCTCAAGAAGTTCGTCTCCTGATAAGTAAGTAAAATAATTTTTATTATTTGACTAATAAATTTCGATCCACATAGATGCATCTGCTTTAATTTCCAAGCAGAAAGTAACAAATTATTTTAAATTCGTTTTCTATAGTACAACAAGCTGTAGTTAAGTTAATTTCGGCCAGTCAATATATAAATTATTACTCGATATTATAATATTCAAAGCTTGCCTAGTTTCTTTTTTTATTTTTATATTATGTCTATATATTCTATGTATAGCAGTGAAAGTTACAGTCAAATAATAAATGTGGAAGAAAAACAGCGAAATAATAAAGTGAGGCGAAGAACAACTCAACCTCAAGAGCTTCTCTACGGAGTGCATGCTAGTCCAGAAAATTTCAAAGTAGAAGATCAAAATCAAAACCACAATCATCCGCTCACAAGGGTACCCAGTGCACCTGGTAGCCTAAAGTAGGTTCAGCTTTTAGAAAAATGCTTTGTATTAATAATCATTATTATTTTTTAAATCATCTTGCCAATTATTTCTATTTTTGTACTTTGCTACTTTTATACTGTAAACATTCAAGTACACCGCATCTTGTCAATTTTCTAGAGGATTAGTACTTATTAGAAGTCAACATAATACAGGTGTAACTGGTGGATCGCCAACTTTGAGTCGTCGTGATAGTACGTCACCTCGACCACTGCGACGTCCACTTCATCCTGGAGGAGGTTCTATGTGAGTGATAATTCTGCAGTACATCTTTGTTCTCGTATTTCTTATTTATCTTTGTCTCAATGCTCTGTTATATGCACGGTGATCTTCCTGAAATGAATTTACATTCAATAAATGGGTGCCTTTCACAAGAGTATAACAAGATGGATTATAAATACAAATATAGTGAAAATAAATTCAATATTTATTCAAATTAAATCAGAATGCATTTTGGTAAAATAGATTATAAAGAAGAGAAAAAAAAAGAAAACTATACAAATTCCAACATCGAAATACGATCGTGTTCGGTATTTACAAAAAATAATATATTGCCTAATACGCAGAAAACAACATTTCTGCGAATAGTAACAAATATACGATTTATATCTGTAAAAATGAAGAAAAAAAAAATAAAAGTTAAAAATAAAGAGAAGTTTTTCTTTTTTAATACCGTAAAGTTTACTTTACTTTTACAGATATAAATTTGTATTCAATTCTAAAGTAATTTCGTGTAAAATGAATTTAAATTACTTGTTGATTATCATAAGTTAATATTATCAGGTAATGTTACTAACATATGTATCATATAGAAGAAAATTATGTATTATACAACATTCTCTAGATTCTATTTGTTAAAGAACACTGCTAATATTTGCTATTATAAGTATTATAGTTATAAACTAAAAACATGTTACCTTTTTGTTTTTTATATACAACTTTATTAATATACAACATTCATTTTGTGCTTTGCATCACATTATGATAATAGAATGATCAGAAATTGTTTACATGTGTAAAAAATATAAAATTTGATAAACAAAAAATTTCAATTTGTATATATTTAAGATTTACTTTTGTATCGTTCGGAGTTAATAAATAATTGCACAAATAATCCTTCCATAATACTGTGCAGTAACAATGTTTATATAAAGTCCTCCTTTATACGTTATAATGCCTTTATATAAATATTCTATATCCAATTGTTCATATAATTGTATGTGCTTTCGCTTATCTTTTAACTCTAAATTGCTAAAAAAATTTACCAAACTGATACAAAATATTAATATTTCATGTTACATCATGACGTTATCGTTAACTATGTTGATTTATGTCAAAGTAATTTTCAACTTATTTATTCGATAATTGACTAAGCCATATACTTCAAACTTACACGTACATATATGTATTTTTTAATCGATTATATTGGTTTATAATTATAGTACTTACTGTGCACCCGCATGCATTGTGTTTAAATACGATGAAGGCATGACTATTAATTGGGATTACAGCTGATTACTACCAGCTAACTAACATGCTAACATAATAAACACCTCAATTAGGGAACAGGTAGCGCATACGGATATTTCTTCACCACCCGGTTCACCAACGACATATCGACGTTTCAATAGTCGTGAGGAAAATGTTTTCTCCAGACTTACTGCTAGCAGACAACCAATGTCTGTAGATCCACAGCCTATGAAGGGAATCATTTCCCAATATCAGGGAAAGGTATTTAAATTCATTTAATTAAAGTTATTTTTTTATGATCATATAAATATATTATTCAAAATTTATTGTATATTTTAGGCTCAACCTCGAGCAGTTTTACAATGTTCTCATATAGCGGAGGGACATAGTAAAGCTGTTCTGACTATTTATGCAACCACGGATTTACTTTTTAGTGGATCAAAAGGTGTGAATATATTAAATAGTGATATTTAATATTTTATTTTCATTAAATATAGTATATTATAATATAT